CTCGATGTGTCTAATAATAAGCTCCTTCATAACTTTGTATGCTTGTAAACAGATTAACATATTAAACAATTAATTAACATGCTGGCAGTGAAGTCAATCAATTTGTTCTTGGTCTTGCATAAATAATACTGTAAATAGTTTAATTTTTGCCAATATAATTTTTGCTATGTACGATGATACGCGTTTGATATCCTATTGCGTATACGCATCAAATAAATACAAGTGTAACTAGTGACATCATAGAACGCAGTGGAAAATAGAGTGATTTGATTGCATGAACAGACATTAACAAATGCAATACATATGTAATACATGCTTTGCGAATAGAAAAGGACACGAGCAAAATGGCCAGGGACATTAACCAGTTGTTTCACACACTTTCTCATTTGCATTTGTGTTTCTAGAAATGTACATTTTTGGTTAAATTTTGTAATAATCAATAATCAGGCAATTTGTGTAACAATTTTTCAGTTGTTGTCTTCTTCGCAGATGGGAGTTCTTGATTAACCCTCTAATGAGTCCTTGACAGCTCTTTTACAATTTTTTTTCTACAAAATTTTAACATGCGATACTTGACAAATGTGGCATTTAAAAATATTCCAGTGAGAAATTCTTCATTTGAAAATGGCTGTATAATGTAAAAGAATGAGGAAAAGCGAGAAAAAAAAATGTTGGTCTTCCTCCCTTTTTTTAATGAGTTTGACTCTCTCATGGTGGATTTACATGTAATTGCTAATAATAATTACCATTATTAGTGGCATTTTACCGTACTCGTCCGACTTAGTGCCCATGCTTGACTAAGTTCCCACCTCACTTCTGAACTATCAATATATGTAACCCATTCATTGAACATAATTTTACTTTTCTGAATAATTGCAATGTCCTTTGTGACTATTGTGAAACGGGTGTGATCGGGTAAACTACAAATTTCGACCTGTTGATGAGGATGTTAAATACTTTCACGTCCATTTTACCTTTCGAAATTTACAAATCATCAAAAATAAATCTTGTCATTTTTTACTCCTGTTTACAAAGCACACAATGGGAGTCTTTGCAGTTTGTCTGTTTGTCTGTCTGTCTGCATGTGTTTGTCTTGTCAACATTAGGACGACTTCCATTTAACTTTACCCCTGTCAAATGACGACAAACCTATCAAGTGATGTCCGTCACTATTTTTCATAATTTATATTAATATTTAATCAATATTAAGACAAGTTTGCATAGCTTAGGGTAAGGTTTGGTACGGTACAGTTTATATTCAAATTAATGTAACTTTACCACACCTACCACCTTTACTAACCCTAAGCTTCGCAAACATTTTATAATAAGTCACAGGATGTATGATGTTATTTCTATTTTGTTGCATTTTGTATTTAAATAATCTTGGATTGAAACACAATTCTATATTGAATTGCAATGTAATTGAGTTTAATTAAACTCCCATTAAATCGCAACCTTATATAGAGTTGTGTTTTAATCCAAACATAACGCAACTATATTAAAAGTTAATTCAACTATATTAAAAGTTAATCCAATGCGTCTCATCACAACAAAAATAAGACGCATGTGTGTGTATTCGTGTGATATCAATGTTATGACCGTTTTCATTTAACTTTTACACCTACCACATGATGACAGACCTAACAGGTGACAACACTCACTATTTTCATAATGTATATTAATATTTATTTAAATTTAAGTTTGCGTAGCTTAGGTGTAAAGGGGAGAGGTATGGTTCAATTTATATTACCGGTAATATTAATATAATTGTACCATAGCTACCCCCCTGTACTAAACCTAAGCTTTGCTAACATTTCCATGTTAAGTCACGGACGAGATTTTCAACTTTTATTTAATTAAACTCCAATTAAAATGCAATTCTTTGTTGAATTGCATTGTAATCAAGTTTAATTAAACTCTATTAAATGCAATTCTATATAGGAATGTGTTTTAATCGAGTTCATTGCAACTATATTAAAATTTAATCCAATGTGTGTTGTTACATCATTGGTAAGAGATGTATGGGTGTGGGTCTGCCAATTCCACTGGTATCCACTGGTTTTTCATGAAACTTGCATCGATGCTCTTGAGTAATGCACAGGTTTGATTAGTTTTAGGTAAAAACCATGTATATTAATTACCTAATTTGCATAATGGCATTTTTGGCTTTTCCACTGATATCTTGAGTACTAATCATTACATTTTGATGAAACTTGGTACATATTAGTTTTACACTGAAATTTGTGCAAATTAATTACCTGATTTGTGTAACAATTATTCATTTTTCAGCTTTCCATCAATATCTCAAGTACAAGTAATTTTGAATTAGTTTCTCCAATACTCTAAACACATGGGAATCTTTTCTAAGTTCTCTGAAGTCAATGATTATGTTTAAACATCAATAATTCTCTTCCACATAGCTTTTTATAAAATGCCAACATCAATATTTCAAAATTCACAGAAAATTGCATCAGTACCACACAGCATTCTTATTGGTTAATAACACATGACCTATCAGGTCAGAGGGCATAGTTGCAGGTCAAATCATGCATCAAGAATTTGCAAACAATCAAAAACATTTTCAACCAGTTTTCTACAGATCCTAATAGTTTTTTAACTGTAAATAATATTGTAATAAAATGTCATATTTTTTTGTGAACATCTGTCTGTGTTCTGTAAAATCTATGACGACGCAACTAATTATGCAATTTTTTTTTCTCCCAAAAAATTGTCCTTATTCTGGCACAAAAATTGTCGCTTAGATAATTTTTCAAAAGGTTTTTCGACGAAGCGCACAAGTTCTCTGTGTGCTAAGACCGATGAGAACTGTAATTTAAATTGATTGAAAGCAGACATTGTATCCGTCAATATTGCATGGAACTGCAGACTTTATTTTTAGACATAAAGAGAGAAAGTGAAAAAGAATTGAGAAAATTAAAACTGGCACAGTCTACTGTTTTGAGGTGACCTGTAACTGCCCTTTGACCTGACCTGACATTATCCAATCATTATTCAGAACAATGCATGATGAATGACTAGTGAACCAGACAATGGATAAATGTTACTTAGCGATCCCATGCATGGCAAACATAATATCTTCTTAAATCATTCACCCACTTCTGCCAAATGAACGAAAGTGTAAAATAAATGTAACAAACTATATAAACTATACAAACAGTATTTATAATAACTTTTAACCCCCCCTCCCTTAAATAAGGAGATTATGTTTGCTGTTGTGAATGTTTTAATTACATATAGCCCCCCCCCCTCTAATAGAGTGGGTGTAGTACTTATTGTAGTGTGGTATATACTTGTAGTATTTGAGTGTTTTTGTACCAGGTGTTCATGCTGATTCAAGGCATTTTACGGTGCCACTCAATGTCTATATATGTTTACACTTATTATTAAAGTTAGTTCCTCTTTGTTATTTGTTATTTGCCTCTGTTTAAAAGTCTAATTATTTAATTTCGATAAAATTAGTATCTCTAAATGATTTTCACTAAATACGCATACTGAAAGTATGACTTTAATAGTTTGACATTAAACACAAAGAGCAAATATGTTATTCATTATTTAGTCGTAAGATTACCATACTCTACTAACTTTAGTGCTTAGAGTTCATGAGGGGAAGGGGGGCATTTAGTCGAGCACCCCCATCCACAAATGTTTGTTCACCATCTGCTAGGTTAAGGGGAATATCTTTTTTTTGGGAATAAATAAGCAGTTTTACAAAACTAGTTGAGTTGATTTCCACAACATGTTTACAATGGAAAAAAAACACACAAACATTTCCAAAAATGTGTGTATCATGTTACAATTTTATGTATGATCAAATTTTACAATGTACAAATTATTAGGGTCTGTGGCTGCAAGGTTTGACGTGCGAGAATGTCTTATAACCTGGAAGTTCAATTCTGTTATTAACCAATCTAGAGCACTGTGACGTAATAATGCATCTTGTTGTGAATTCTCAAATACAGGCAATGACATTATTTGCTAATGCAATGTGAAAGAAAATTACAGATTTTTAAGTATGATCAATTGACATTGATTTCAGTGAAAAGTTGGCATGATTTTTTGTGTGTTTGTTAAAGTGTAATTCACCTGTCACATTCATGGTCGTCGTTTTCTACGATTAGATGCTGTGGTTTGATTATTCAGAAAAATAAAACAATGTCCGAACTCCAAACAGTAAAATTTTACCCACAAAATAGAAATCCTCCAATAGTGGGGATGGGGGGTAGTTAGTAGTTTAGTCATGGGTGGGCCCTAAGTCAGTCAAGTACAGTATATTTGTATTTGCCTTGTGATGGTCATTCATGCACAAACTATGCGGTCACTCCATCGTCCACTCCATTGGGCCATCAGATATGCATGCTTCTTTAATACCTTATTGACTCTACAGGTGTCTCTAAAAGACGATTTACTAAATTGAAAAGATTTCATAACGATGTCATGATTGAACGATGTATGGTCACACAACATCAATATTGCCCTCAGAAACCGAGGGTCAGTAATTTCAAGATATTGCCTCAAGGAACAGATGGCCAGTCAGTAGATGTTATTGCCCTCAGAAATAAAAGGATCATTCGTTATAGAGTAGAATATTTATTGCTTCATTTTAGGAGAAGTACATGTCAGTTTATATTGATTGGGAAATTCAATCTCACTCAACTGTGATATCGACCTCTTGGTCAGTCAATATTTCCATCAGTAACAAATAGGCAATCAGTGTATCGTATTCCCTTGGGAGTAGAGGGCCAGACCATATATAATATTGCCCCAGGAACAAAAAGCCAGTCAGTGTTTACTATTGCCCTTAGTAATAGAGGGGCAATCAGGATGTATATGATATTGCCCTCAGGAACAAAATATCAGTATATTGCCCAGGAAGGGAGGGCAATATTGCAGTTTCCCACAAAAACGAAAGCAGTTTACATTCAGTCTCAAAAGTTGGAATTTTAAAAACTAATTAATTTTATTTTGTGTTGTCATTTCAGCTTTATGAACTTAGTGATGATCCGAAAAGAAAAGAATTTTTGGATAATCTGTTTTCATATATGCAAAAACGAGGTGAGTATTCCCCCAAATGTTGTATATTTCCCACAATGCATTTCTTTGTGTTTCCTTCAGCTATGTGACATCAGTATGTATGTGTAGCTAAACCTAACCTATCTTTTGAAATATCTCTTACAAATCACAAATTTCATTGAAATTTTCAAAAAAATTGTTGTTTATTACACCATAAATTCTAGATCAGTTTATTATCACTGTAGATAACTTTATTTTCGCTTGGAATTTATTTTCGCCATTTTCACTGAAGGGATGATTCCGTGAAAATAAAATCCAGCGAATATACTTTTTTCCCTATATTTCACATTAAACTCATCAAAAATCAGTGAAAATAAATTCCATACAAAATGCTCGTTAATTCAAAATTAATTCCAGAGAAAATAAAGTATTCCACAGTATATGGCATCATGGTTGTCCCTTGCATTAGGTGTACATAAAGCAACACATGTGAAGTAATACTGCAATACAACTAAAATAACAGGATACACTGTTTGAAAATTTATCTGACAATATGCCAGAATTATTCGACCCAATTGAATAAGTTAATAATTATTTAATACTTGTTGATTTAAAACTTAAAGTCACAGATGAAATTACCCATGATTTTTTGAACAAATATGGCTGCCTTTACATCGATACAAATATGGCTGCCTTTACACAGATACAAATATGGCTGCCTTTACAGTGATAATATTGTAATATATTATACTTGTTTGTAAGCTCTGGTAGTAGATATTTGTCATACATGATTGGCACCCAATCCCTGTTTATCACATCACCTGCTTAAAGCTCCCACTGATTGCCGAAATCAATGGAAATAAACAGTTTCAGCAGGTGGTTAATATTCATGTTATTAATTGAAGTGTACAATTACACATGGATGAACCCGGCATGTAAATATGTTTTCATAGATCACTGTTTTCTTGTTAATATGGATGTGTTTTTATTACTGGTAGATGCTATTTTATTGCTTTAAATAAAATTTGAAATAAAATCGTCTATAGGTCTTTTAAATAATCTGATAATCTTGAAATCTAGGCTGGTAGAAAGGATACGCATTTGTTACCGATTAATTAATTATTTTTGATCAAATTAAAACTTTAATCCGAGTATCAATCTTTGAATCGAGAATAGATACCGCCTAAACAGTATTTTTATTACATTTTATTTCTTTGGTTAGCCGATAAATGTTTTTTTTATGATATTTATTTAAATTAGTGTGTTAGTTTGAATGAATGAAATTAGTTGGAAATTAGGAGAAAAAAACATTGATAAAATTATGATTCAAAGCAGAAATGATTTTCTGAAATTTTTTAATTAAATTTGATAGATATCTGTAAACTGCTTTAAATTTGTTTGTTTGTGAATTTCTGGCATGAGTAAAAACAACATTGGTAGCGAAGATTCTAAGACTTAGAAACACAGTAACTTCCAAGAAAATGTTTTTCCTCATGAACGTTTTATAATTAAATTGTAAAAATTTCGTATTAGGGCTCTATTTTCCACATACAAATGTATTTTCTTTTTTCAGAACTGGATATGTGTCTGTACCACACTTAGCTGTAATCATCAAAGAAACAGGAAGTGATTTCATTTTAATGTTTCAATAATATATATGCTTATAAGTGATGTTTTTTTCAATTATTAAGATATTTGATATCCATAATTTAAAAGTCAATTTCAGTGACAATAGTTCAGAGTTCATGATCAGCATGGCTGACTTGTAAAAATGCTTGAAATTCAAAGCACTACAAATTTTTGAATCTTAATTTTTGTCAGAGGGAATTGTTCCGTCTAGTAATGAAAAAATGTGAATAAAAAGAGTGGATGCTCAAACTATGACTTTGAGATTTCATCCATAGCATTAAGCTCAATTCAAAAGTTTATTGGATATTAAACCAAAGATTTTTCATCAGACTTTCAAATAACTAGTCTCAGTGAATCTAGCTAAGTTTCTAGAAATTCATTTGTCAAAATGTGTTATTTGTGTCAATGCTTAAACACTCATTAATTATGCAAATCTCTGGGAATATGCAAATAAAGTGGTAACATTTTTATGTTGGTGTTTTTTTCCAACCTCCTCAAATTTAGAGCTTCACGATTTCCTCAGTGGGAAAGGTCAGTGTGTTGATTTCGAGAAACACAAAGGGACTTGATGAATATTTTGCCCTGAATGGCAAAAACAAGAAATCAATCATAGCTAAATTGGTCAATTTAAAAAAACCTGGGGTCATAGGGCAACCCACATCAAAGAGCACAACATTGTGCAGAGGTTTTCGCAATAATAAAAAGACTGTTGTTGGATAGTGTATTGATAATGCTTAGATAATACTTCATTCTCGATTTTAGTGCTCAATGATGTGCTGTACATGCATTAATTAATTTATTAATTAACTAACTAATTAATTAATCTTTTTTTTTATTTTCACTTCTTTGCTGATAATAAATTCTGCGGGATTAAATTATTCACTGGATTATAGAAAATTACAATTAAACTTATATGATCAAACACCAAAATAGTGAAATTAAATAAATAAATAAATTAATTAAATTAAATAAGAAAGTAAATGTTGTGCAGAATACAAAATACATTTGATATAAATAGTGTAAACTGTATATTTATTAAGAATCACCGAATAGAAAATTTGCAAAACAATTGAAAAATTCACACTTATGGTAATATAAAACTTAAAAAAATGATGCGCTGATGCAGTTTAATTTTTTTTCCCTATTTTTACGAAACACCAAGAAAGAAGAACGCTGCGATATTGCGCCAGCAATAGCAGGTCCATTTTTTTTCTCTGTTTCATATTAACAAAAAAAAACGTTCATGGCATTTGGAACTAATGTGATCTATTTTTCTTTTGCAATTATGATAAGCCGCATCTTCCTGTTACATGTTTATCACATCGTTTGTGTGCAAGTTTTTTTACTTAAATTTTTTTATGAAATCATTCAGTTTTTACTGTTCGTCTACGTATTGAATGTTTTCACATATGCTTTGGTTCGCTACAGGAAAACTTTTTATGCACCATAGTACGGCGAACAGTCAAATTTGTTGTAAACAAACAATATTTGCTATATTAGTAGCGCATATGCTTACGTAAGAGGTAGTATTTTAATGATTTACTTATACAATAAATGTGATTTTTGGTAAGTTGCAAATTGAATGTAATGTGGTATTACGAATTAATGCGTGAACCATATGCACTCTTGTTTTCACTGTTTGACCCGCCTGTAAAAATAACAAAAGTATATTTAAGTATAATAATTTACTTGGATGAATATAATCCATCTATTTTAAAGTTGGAGCTTTAGTTTTTCTAAATCCCCAACAGCTATTTCTAAGCTTGTCTTTCATTGGGTAGCTAGCCCAAATACCTAACTACTAGGCCAATCAGATAACACCTTTATTTTTCTGCTTGGTTCGGCGTCCTTTATTACTATTGTAAAAGCATTAATTATTCGCTGGGTTTTAATTTCAGTGAAATCCATCGTTCAATCCATGTGAACATTTAAAATTTCCCTAGCTAATCTGTGAATTTACAACTCAGTGAATATGCTCAAAATATTAAAAATTGAAATTAAAACCAGTGAATAAAAATGTTTTTACTGTTAGCTGTTGGTGTCAGCTATTTCTTGAATGTGAAATAAAAATTTCAAAACCTTGTACAACTTACACCAAAATAGATTGACTCCATTGTCTGGTTAGCTACTCCTAAGGTGAAATATAAAATAATTCAAAAACTGTGGGCAGTATCATATATTTGATGTTTTGGGTTAAATTTGAATGTTGCGAGATATCTGCCCGTGGAAAGATGATTTGATATTGTTTTACTAAAATCCAAAATGAGAGTCATCAATTTATAGGTCACATGATCAAAAATGTAATTATAAATTTTAATATTTTATCATAATGTTATCTACTTATTTTCATTTGGATTTATTTTTGCTATTTTCTCTGAAGGGATGGAATAATAAAAATAAAATAAAAAAAAAAACAAAAAAAAAACTAGACATGAAATGTCACAGTCCCCGTTATTTGATTATAAAGTTGTACAAAGTACATCTGCAAACAGGTGAATAAATATGTACTCTTTGTGGTTACAACTCATCATAAAGTGATTTCCGATGATCTAGTTTTGTACTGACAACTAAAAACTTCCACTGACCCATGTTCAGAATCTCAGAGTACACAAGTGCAACAAAACTATTTGTCATACATGTATACTTGCTCAAGAACTGCATTCATAAATCTGAGTGAACCTTGATGTACATGACTTCTTTGTTAATCAGGTCTTAGTATATTACCAGGACCTGGGTTTGTTTGAACATCATCACTGGGCATCAGAATCATTCTCATGTTGTCAAACACAATTTGTTATTAACACAGTAAGGTTTATTATTTAAAATGTATTCATTGTACATAGAACAACATCTGTTAATTTAAACAATTGTAAAAGCTATGTTTTCAGAGCAAGTACATGTAATAATTAAGAAAGCCAGTTGCGATAAAGGTTGGTCTGCTCATAACCTTCAATAG